CTGACAGAGCGGACCAAGCCGATCCCTGGATGGGCCGGTGCCTCCCCGACACCCGGGAGAGCACAGCATGGGAGGCGACGTTCTGCGCCCGGTTCTGCTCCTAGGCTTGCCGAGTAGCCTTGGCCAGGTTCCCTGAGCCTCGTTTTCCCCATTTGGCCTGGGAACCCAGCTGCTCTTCCCAGCCCCGTCCCACCCCATGGCACACATGTCTTGGCCCTTGTTTGGTGTCTAGGATGGGACAGGTAGGGCCCTGGGAGTGGGTGTAGACAGGGTTCAGACCTGCACAGCCTCCCCGACGCCCGGCGGCCTCCCTGACGCCCGTGCTGGCCCCACCTCCCAAAATACCACGTGCCCCTCAGTAGCACTCCACCCCCTCCTCAACGTTCCTCCAACAGCCAGGAATGCCCCCAACACTGTGCCAGAGGCCCTCACCCAAGGCTAGCCCTTCCTGAAGGCTCACATCACCTGAAGGCCGCTCAGTTCCCCAGAAGGCCCCATGTGCCAGGGCCTTGGAGCTGGGACTGAGCCAGGCAGGGCTCAGAAGCCTGTGGGGCTCGCCCACTGCCCTCCTCTGCCAAAGGGAGGAAGGCACAGAGAGAGGTGGAGGCCGGCCTGAGGCCACACAGCACCCCATGGCAGACCCCGACTGCAGGATCAGCTCTCAGCCATGCCATTCTTCCTTGGTGCCACGTCCAGAAAGCAGGGGGGCACACGCAGGGGCTACGTGTGGGGAAGGCAGGGCGGCGCACCAGGCTGCAGCCCCACACAAGGACAAGCTAAGAAAGGGCAGCTCTCCCACAGCTCCCCGCCCACCGGGAACCTCACACCCTTTGCTTTTCCCATGGAGGGGCCGGGAAGGCAGGGAGAGCTGGTCCCTGCTGTTGGGGAAGGCAGGGGCCAGCCCTGACCACAGCAGAAACAGTCAGGAGAATGAAACCCACGCCAGGCCAGGGGCGGCTCCCAGGGAGGGGCCGTGGGTTGCTCAGGACACCTGCCTGCCAGTGGGGCTTTGTCAGCTTTAACATCAGGGTGTCACAGGCTCGAGGACCCATTGCATCCAACCCCCATTCACAGTAGGGGTAACTGAGGCCAGGAGCCCCAATGGGACAGGGCAGCCGAGTGTGCAGGGCTCCCAGGCCCGGTGCTTCAGGGACAGCCACCAGGACGTGGAAAGACAGGCACCTTTTGAGAATTGCAGGATTGTGGAGACACCCACCCGAGGAGTTACCACGGGCAATCCAGGAGGGCTTCCTGGAAGAGGGTTGCCATGCTTCAGAGCAAGTGTCTGTGGGGTACTCACTGTGTGCTGGTTTGTGAGCTTCACGAGGCAGCTTGCATTGTTCTATCTAACCCTCTGACCACACCCTGTGAGGTCAGGACTCATCATCCCCATTTTACAGGTGGAGAAACAGGCTCAGAGAGGCTGGGACGGGCCCTGGATCCCACAGTCAGGGAGAACCGGGTCTGAGAGTGAAGCCCTGGCAGGGCCAGCCCCAAAGCCCCTGGCATGCTGGGCCAAGAGTGAGTGGGAGTCTGGAGGACAGGAAAGAGGGGCAGGGCAACCCGAGGGAGCTTCTCAAGCAGAAGCCCCCAAGAGGGGCTAGGGAAGAAGGGCCAGGAGTAGGGCTGGGGAGCAGTCTCCTGGCTCTGAAGGGTGGAGAGGCCATAGCTGACACTGAGCAGGTTGAAAGAGGAGGTGAGGGGAAGAGGGTTGGGAGCAGTAGCCAGGTGTGGAGCAGAGGCATGGGCAGGAGCCCAGGCAGGGGCACCCCTCCCCTCAGGCACTGGCGGCCCCACACCCCCGGCCAGAGCCAGCCCAACCTGCTCTTGAGTTACCAGGGCACTCGGCCAGTTAGAGGGGGGCCAGTTCCTGTTTCTGAGAGAAAAGGAGCCACTCACACTCCTCTGGGGTCTCCCTGGGGCTGGCCCTGGATCTGGGGGATAGGATCTCCCGACTTCAAAGTGGCCTGGCTGCTGAAACCCACACCAACAGTTGGCACCAAGGGGCTTTGCCAAGAGCCTGGATGGGGCCAGAACCTGAAGCCTGGGGCACATGCTGACCCCAGGTCCACCCCAGATCTGAGGATTACGTCCTTGTGTCCCTGGAGTGGGAGGTGGCAGCTGGCCCTTGAGTGCCCCAGGGTGCTGCAGGCAGGCATCGCTGCTGTCCTGGGACACAGGAAAGAGGGAATGGGACAGGCAAGACCCACAGAGGCAGGGCTACCCAGGGATGGGAAGGATGGAGGGACAGGGTGTGGAGGTGGTGGGGCGGGGCTGCTTTTTGTTCAGCACAGAAGCAGCACAGTCACAGGCAGTCCTGCCTTCACCCCTCAGTGTGGCTGTATCTGCCATGGGACCCTGGACCTGTCACACCACCTCTCTGGGCTGCAACTTCCTCAGCCCAGAGGAAGCCTAAGGCTGAGAATCTGTCACACCACCGTGTGCCCAGTACCTCACACAGCATCCCACACAAATGTAGACTCATGGATGGATGGGTGGGTGGGCGGGTGGATGGATGAATGGATGAGTAGGTAGACAAATGGGTGGAAGGGTGGATGGGTGGGTGGGTGTTAGATGGACGGATGAATGGGTGAATAGATAGGTGAGTGAGGGATGGGTGGGTGGGCAGGTGGATGGGCGGAGGGATGGGTAGATGGGGGAGTGGGTGGTTGGATGGATGAATGAGTGGGTGGATAGATGGGTGCATGAATGGGTAGATGGGTGGGTGGCTGACGGATGAATGGGTAAGTGGGTGGATAGATGGGTGGATGAATGGGTGAGTGGGTGGATGGGTATCTGGGTGAGTAGTTGGATGGATGAGTGGGTGGGTGGTGGATGGGGTGGTGGGTGAGTAGCTGGATGGATGGGTAGGTGGGTGGATGGATGGATGGATGGATGGGTGATGGATGAGTGGGTGATGGATAGATGGAGGGATGGGTGAATGGATGATGATGGATGGGTAGGTGGGTGGATGGATGGATAGATAGGTAGGTGGGTGGGTGGAAGGATGGATGGATGGATGGATGGGTAAGTGGGTGGATGGATGGATGATGATTGATTGGTAGATGGATGGATAGGTAGGTGGGTGGGTGAAGGGATGGATAGATGGATGGGTAAGTGGGTGGATGGATGGGTAGATGGATGGGTGTGTTGGTGGATGGGTGGGTGGATGGGTTGATGATTGATGGGTGGATGGATGGGTAGGAGTGTGGAAAGATAGGTGGGTGGATGGATGATGATTGATGGGTGCACAGATGGATAGGTGGGTGGGTGGGTGGATGGATGAATGGATGGATGGATGGGTAAGTGGGTGGATGGATGGATAGATGGATGGGTGGGTTGGTGGATAGGTGGGTGGATGGATGATGATTGATGGGTAGATGGATGGATGGATGGATGGATGGATGGATGGATGGATGGATAGGTCGGTGGGTGAGTGGAGGGATAGATAGATGGATGGATGGGTAAGTGGGTAGATGGATGGGCGGGTTGATGGATAGGTGGGTAGATGGGTGATGATTGACGGGTGGATAGAAGGGTAGGAGTGTGGATGGATAGGTGGGTGGATGGATGATGACTGATGGTGCACGGATGGATAGGTGGGTGGGTGGGGTGGATGGATGAATGGATGGATGGATGGGTAAGTGGGTGGATGGATGGATAGATGGATGGGTGGGTTGGTGGATAGGTGGGTGGATGGATGATGATTGATGGGTAGATGGATGGATGGATGGATGGATGGATGGATGATGGATGGATAGGTCCGGTGGGTGAGTGGAGGGATAGATAGATGGATGGATGGGTAAGTGGGTAGATGGATGGGCGGGTTGATGGATAGGTGGGTAGATGGGTGATGATTGATGGGTGGATAGAAGGGTAGGAGTGTGGATGGATAGGTGGGTGGATGGATGATGATTGATGGGTGCACGGATGGATAGGTGGGTGGGCTGAGAGCATGGCAGCTGCTTCCCCACCTGTGTGATCTCAGTGTGCAAGGAGGAAGCTAAAATCCTTTTAGAACTCAGTCTTAAAGTCAAACACCCCCACTAGCAGCATATTCTGTTTATTAGCTCAGCCACGTTCAAGTGGAGAGAACTAGGCTCCACCTCTTGAAGGGAGGAAGGTTAAAGAATGTGTGGCTGTGTTTAAAACCATCAGAGACTGATAATTGGACAGTCTCCCTCCAGATGTCAAATGCAGGTGCCCTTTGATGCAGCTGGATGCTCAGCGTTTGGAGCACAGGCTATGCCCATGCAGTGACCACTCTGTCTTGTTTCTAAGGGCCGAGTGCAGGCAGCAGCCCAGGGTCCATCCAGAGAGGCCTGGGTGCTCCACAGCCCCAGCTGGGAGGACAAGTGGGCAGAGAGTCAGAAACCTCTTCGTGGAATGCTGTGGAATTATCTACAGAATGTGGTTGAATGGAAAATCAGGTGCAGAACAGTGCAGTCAGCGGATGGTCTTGTGTTCAAGGAAGGAGGGACAGGGAGTGTACAGTCCTGTGTGCCAGGGTCTGCATCAAGGGACTCTGGAGGGAAGCACCAGAAGCTCCTCTAGTTTTCCCAGCGGGACTAGGGAGGGGCTGTGGCAGGGGTGGGAGGGGCCGTGGCAGGGGTGGGAGGGGCCGTGGCAGGGGTGGGAGGGGCAGCATTCTCGCCGCAATGCCTCGATGTGTAATAGAGTCTCAAGCTTTGGAGCCCCGTGAATACAGTCTGCATCCATAAAGGCCTCACAAAAAGAAACGTAACAGACCCGTCAGAGCTGCAGCTGAGGCAGCCAGCTGACCCCCAAACCCTCCAGGGTCCCCTGGGCCAGCTGAGCTGCCCGCTGACCTCAAGGATGAGCTCACCCATCTCCTGGTGGCCTTTGGTGGCTTCCTGGTGCCCTGAGGCTGCAACTGGCTCTGCCCAGGGGCCGCTCACTCCCGCCTGGCTCCTCCTGGGGCCCATGGTCCAGAGCCAAGCACCACATCAGCCCTGACATGCTTTCCATTTCCTTTGCAGCCAAGAAATTCTCATTCCTCAGGAAGTTGTGCGGCGTCCCAGCTGAGGGGCCCCTGACTCCCCAGGTACGTAGAGGCAGCAGCCTGCTCCCAGGCTGGCGGGAGATGCCCGTGTCCTGAGGCCCCTCCACCCCCACCCGCCCAGCCTTCCTCTCCCTCTCTGGACAGTAATTGGGCCTGCCTCCTGGGGTCTCCAAGCAGGGCTTCCAGCCACAGCTCTGAGCCGGGCAGGCAGGCGTGTCACCTGATGTTCCTCACGGTGGCCGCCCAGCCAGCAGGCCTCACGGAAGCAGACCAACTCCTGCCCTTGTTAAAAGCTACTGGGCACAGCTGTGTTCCCAGCACTCCTCACCACCATCCAGGACTTAGTGAAAGCCACCTCCTCCAGGAAGCCTTTCTGATGCTCCATCTGCGCTGAGGTCCCCACTCAGAGTCCCCTCCTCCTCCATCACCTTCTGGAGGACTCTGGCCATGGGTAGGGGGTCTGGCCTATGGGACCTGGGCTTCATGTGGGGCCTGGCTGTTGCTGTTCCTACCCCCAACAGCCTGGTCCCGGTGGGTGTCTGAGCCATGCGGGACACAGCTGAGCCCAGTGCAGGGCAGGAGATGCGCAGGGCTGGGAGCCGGCCCTCCCAGGAGGACCCGCCTGCACTGGCTGAGGCCTCCAGTGGGTTCCCCACTTCTCTATCTGGATTCCTCACCCATAAATTCAGAGCGACAATCACCAAGTCACCTCTGAGCCACCATGGGCACAAGGAAGGCAGTGCAGGAAAGTGCTCTGGTGCCCAGCCTTGCTGTTGCTGCTGTCGGCATTATTTATTCATTCAACAAACCTCACCTATGAGTCCTGCCCCAAGGACTCCAGACCTTTGTTCCCTGACAGTGGAGCCAAGAAGAGGGAAAGGGACCCTCCTCCCGGGGTCATGGGACAGGAGGCTCCTCAGTGGAGGTGGCAGAGGAGGAAGGACCCCCGGACCCCTCCCCCCCACCATGACTCTTCTTGGTGCTGTGGTGTGGTGCTTGCAGGCTGGAGCCTTACCCACCCTGGGGACCTAGACCCAAATTGGGCAGGCCCCTCCTCCCTACTGCCTCATCCCTGCACCCTGCAATGCAGCCTCCGGCCACCAGGCCCTCCCAATGGCGGGTGCAGGCACCCTCCTGGGCCCTCCTAGACACTCTTGGGGCCCTCCCTGGGGAGCACCTGCAGGTCGGGAGCTTGTGCCCCACACAGGGGCCTGTCCTGGCTACAGCCGGCCAGTGGATGCTCTGGGGCCGTAAGCCGCTTTCTGACCCTGAGAACGCTCCCCCCTCCCTCCCCACCTTCCTCCCTCCACTCGCCCTCCGCCCCCCACCAGCCCTCTCCCTGAGACGGGAGGGTCCCTGCTCCAGCTGCTGGGATGCCCTCTCCCTGGGGGCTGAGCCGAGCATTCCTTCTAAGCTGGGAGCTTCTGTGATGTGCACACCCTGCCTCTTCTGCTTCCGGCTCGGCCACGCCTGACTGGAAAACCAGGAGGCCCACAGAGCTCCCTGCCCAGATGGGGCCACCCACCCCTCCACCCTGCTCATCCCTCACTTTTCCTTTCAGGCTCCACTCAGGACCATGAGCACAGGCTTCCCTGGGACCCTCCGAGGGCTGAGAATGGCCATCCAGCCCACTCCCCGGGGCGCCCCTCGGACAGCTGCATCCTTCTAGCACCAGGACGGAGGGGCCATGCCAGGGGAACGGCCCCGAGGAGTGCCAGCCCCCACCATGACAGGAGACCTGCAGCCCTGCCACGTTGCCAGCAGCCTGGGGTGCCCCTCCCAGGCCCCACTGGAGGACCATAGCCCAGCCAGCAGGACTACCAAGGGTGCTAGGGAGGTTGGCCGCCAGGCCCAGGCCATGGAGCTCCCTGAGGCCCAGCCGAGGCAGGCCAGGGATGGGGAGCCCCAGCCCCCACCCCTGAGAGGCCAGGCCCTGAGCAGCACCCCCAGGAAGGGGGGCGGCCCCCAGACCCCACCAGGGAGGAGCCCCTTGCAGGCTTCCTCAAGACTGGTGGGCAAGGCAGCCGGCAGCCCCCCAAAGCACTATAGTCTGAGCATCACCAGCTCGAGAGCTAAGGCCACCCTGGAACAGATGCCTGAGAACCCACCACTGGAGGCTGCCCAGCCCCCAGAGGTGGAGGCCCCCCAGGGCCCTGGGACGGGAGCTCCCCTCAGGCCAGGCCTCCCGAGGACCACGGCCCAGCCCACTGCTGAAGAGCTCGGCTTCCACAGTAGTTTTCAGGAGACACCCTCCAGCTTTACCTCCACCAACTATACCTCACCAAGCGCCACCCCCAGGCCCCCAGCCACAGGGCCCCCCCAGAGCAGGGGCGCCAGCCCAATCCATCCCAGCCCCTATCCTGAATTGCAGGCCAGTGGGGCTGACTCCTGGCCTCCCGCTGCTGAGAATAGCTTCCGAGGTGCTAATTTCGGGGCTCCCCCTGCCGAGTCGGAGCCCATTCCCACAGGCAGCAGGCCCGGCAGCAGCCCCACGGGGGCTTCCTTCCAGTTCCCCTTCCCAGCCCTGCACGGGGCTGGTGCTAACCCCTTCCCTGCGAACGTGGCCAGCCACACATTCACTGACGGGCCGCTGGTGTTTGCCTTCCACCAGCCCCAGGGAGCATGGCTGGAAGAGACCGTGGGAGCCGGCCCAGCCTACCCGCTGCCCACCCCGTCTGCACCCTCACCCCTCCCCTGCTACCAGGGCCAGCCAGGTGGCCTCAGCCCCCACAGCAACCTCAGCGGTGCCCTGTCTCCGCCCGGAGCTGCTCACTCAGCCCCGAGACCCTTCGACGGTTTGCACAAGAGCCTTACCAAAATCCTTCCCGAAAGACCATGTTCAGCCCAGGATGGGCTGGGAAGCCCAAGGGAGCCCCCTGGCTCCCTGCCCCAGAGGCACTTTTCAGGGCAGGCATACAGAGCCAGCCGGGTGGACACCAGCCCAGGGCCTCTGGACACTGAGCTGGTCACCCCAGGGCCACCACCCCCCAGGCTGCCCCAGCTGTGGGACCCCACAGCAGCCCCTTACCCCACAGCTGCCAAGGGCCCCCTGGCTGCCACCAGGAGTGCATTCTTCAATGGCCAGCCCGGCCCAGGCCAGCGGCTCTGCCTCCCCCAGAGTGCACCCTTGCCATGGCCCCAGGTGCTCCCGACTGCTGGGCCAAGCCCCCACAGAATGGAGATGCCGAGCCGGCTACCTGTCCCTGCGGGGGCCCCTGAGTGGCAGGAGGACAGCCACAGAGCTCTGAGCAGTGCTGGGAAGACACCGGGACCCGAGGAGAAGCTGGCAGCTGTGAGAAGTGGCCAGGACACCTCCCCAGCACTGTTCACCTACAGTGGGCTTACAGACCCCGGAGCCCAGCCCCTGTTCTTCAGCATGGCCCAGGCCCAGGTTCCACCTCACGGCACACCCAGGGTGGTGGGAGCGTCCCCCAGCGAGTCCCCACTGCCATCACCAGCCACCAACACGGCCAGCAGCACCTGCTCTTCACTGTCACCGATGTCCAACAGCCCAGCCAACCCCAGCTCAGAGGAGAGCCAGCTCCCTGGCCCACGCGGGCCCTCGGCCTTCTTCCACCCACCCACTCACCCCCAGGAGACGGGCAGCCCCTTCCCATCCCCCGAGCCCCCCCACTCCCTCCCCACCCACTACCAGCCAGAGCCGGCCAAGGCCTTCCCTCTCCCTGCAGATGGGCTGGGAGCTGAGGGTACCTTCCAGTGCCTGGAGGAGACCCCATTCCCCCACGAGGGCCCCGAGGTGGGCCGGGGAGGGCTGCAGGGTTTCCCCCGCGTGCCGCCGCTGTGCCCCGCACACCACTTCTCCCTCAGTAGCGCCAGCCTGGACCAGCTGGACGTGCTGCTGACGTGCAGACAGTGTGACCGCAACTACAGCAGCCTGGCGGCCTTCCTGGCACACCGGCAGTTCTGCGGAGTGCTCCTGGCCAGGGCCAAGGATGGCCACCCGCGTTCCCCGGGTCCTGCTGGGCTCTCCTCGCCCACCACGGCCCCCAGAGTCCCTGCCGACGCACATCCCAGCATGCTCAGCCACTCGAAGGCCTTCCTGCCAGCTGAGGATGTCCAGGCCGAAGGCAAAGATGACCCCCTGAGAACAGGCTTCTTACCCAGCCTGGCCGCCACCCCGTTCCCACTCCCTGCCTCGGACCTGGACATGGAGGATGATGCCAAGCTGGACAGCCTCATCACCGAGGCGCTCAACGGCATGGAGTACCAGTCAGACAACCCCGAGATCGACAGCAGCTTCATCGACGTCTTCGCAGATGAGGAGCCTTCTGGCCTTAGAGGTCCCAGCACTGGGCAGCCCCCTAAGACGAAGGCAGGCGTGACTCCGGAGAACAGAGCTCCACCCCCACTCCCAACGGCCACACCAGACCCTCAAGCTCCCCGCCCTGGGGACAGAGGCTGCCCAGCCCGAGGCAGGCCCAAAACGCGTTCTCTGGGTCTGGCCCCCACAGAGGTGGACGCGCCCAGCCAGGGCAGGCAGCAGAGGAGAGGGAAGCAGTTGAAGCTCTTCCAGAAGGATCTGGACACCAGTACAGCAGAGGGGCTGGGTGTGGGCGGCAGAACTGCCCTGAGGCCCAGGAGGAGGAAGGGCAGTCATGGGCAGCGGCCCCCACCCTGTCCCCGCGACCTGAGAACTCAGGACCCCGAGAGCCATGCAGACCCCACCCCCCAGGTCCGGAGAGCCGCCACCCTCCCTGAGGAGACCAGGAGCTCCCCACGCCTCCGACTGCCCCCCAGGAAGGACTCCAGGAGGAGGAAGGCTGGGGATGGCGCCTGGGGCAAGGAGCTCATCCTGAAGATCGTGCAGCAGAAGAACAAGCACTACCAGCGGCTGGGACGGCAGGTGGGCAGGCGGGGGTCCCTGGTGGCCCAGAGGCTCCAGCCCCGTGCTGAGGACCACAGGCTCCAGGAGTACAACTATGCCTCCGAGTCCGAGGAGGACCAGCCTCCTCCGCAGCAGGGTCCTGGCTTCAGAGGCCGGAGGTGCCGAGGGGCGAAGAGGAAGGAAGTGGACTTGACCCAGGGTCCCAGAGAGGATGGAGAGCGACAGAAACACGGGAAGGCAGTGAGGCAGGGAGCCGGCGGGGACAGAGCCCCCCACAACCCCGAGGAACCAGGCAGGCCGTGTCGGGACCCCAACAGGAGCTCCGAGGCCGACGGACCACTGCCAAACCTGGAGGCCGGAGTGGCTGCCAGGGAGACAGCCAAGTGTGCTGATGGCCCCTCACTGGCCCCCAAGGATCCCCTGCAGGTCCCCACCAACACCCAGACCCCCAAGGAAAACCGCCCACCACTGGACTTCCCCCAGGAAGCCAAGGAGCCTGAAATTGTCAAAGGGTCACCCGTGGACACCACAGAACTTACAGAGGTTTTGAGTTCTTCTCCAGCCAGCTGTGCAGAAGGAAGCCCCAGCCTCCTGATTCCAGAGCAGCCGCAGCCCAGCAGACAGGACACGGGCAGCCCCAAGCTATCGGGAAGCCTCGCCAACATGGTGCCCCACACCACCCTGGCGCCCCTCAGGGGTGCACCAGCGCCAGGCATGGGCGGCCTGCTGGATGGCCCTGGGTGCACAAAGGCCCCCATCTCCCACAACAGAGAGGAACCCCCTGCCCGCCATCCTGCAGAATTTCTGGCACCCATGGCTAACCCCTTGAGTACTGCCTGCCCCAAACCCGGCATCCTGTCTTCAAAGGTCTCCGGTTTTGGCTGTGACCCTGCTGGTTTTAATGGAGACCCCATGGGGGTTCCAGTTGCCAAAAAGGGGCCTCAGTCCTATGGCAGCCCCCACAGTGAGTTGTTCCTTGGACCTAAAGACCTGGCTGGCTGTTTCCTGGAAGACCTGCACCCCAAGCCCTCAGCCATGGACGCCCCACCGGCCAGCAACTCCTGCCTTTGCCAGGATGGCAAGGATGCTGGCTCCCTCGAGCCACTGCTGCCTAAGAGCCTCCCCGGCACGGCCGAAACAGATGCAGGCAGAGCCACATCGCCACTGACCTTGGAGTCCACATCCCTTTTTCCAGGACTGCCACTGGACAGATTCAACCCACCCCTCTACGGCAGCCTGTCTGCAGACAGGGGCCCCCAGGTGCCGTTCACATGTGCTGACCCTCCCCAGAAGCAGCCCCCATCAGACCCACCGTTCCCCTCTTTTTTGCTGCTTGAAGAAGTACCCCCTATGCTGCCCAACCATTTTCCTGATCCCTCAGGGGGAAAGGTGCTCAGTAAGACGTGTCCCCCTGAACAGACAGCAGCCCCCGGCACCTCAGCTTTGCCTGGGAAGGGTAGTGGATGTAGTGCTGCTCTTATGAGCCACCTGTCTGAGGACGAACTGGAGATCCAGAAATTGGTCACCGAATTAGAAAGTCAACTGCAAAGGAGCAAAGACACACCTGGGGCCCCAAGAGAGCTCGGAGAAGCTGAGTCTGGGGGCAGGGTGGAGCCAGGCACAGGCACAGAGGCTGCCCACCTGCTGCCCACCTGCCAGACCACCATGCCCCACAAGGACACACTCTCGGCAGCTGACCTCACGGTCACTGGGGAATCCGCTGCACCTCGGGAGGGTGCAGGACCAGCTGTGGCCACCATGGAAGGGGTTCAGCAAAAGCCCACGACGACATGGCCCTGCCCAGCTTCCTTCCACCCAGGAGAAACAGCCCCTCTCCCCTGCGCCCAAGAAGACCTGGATTCTGGGTCTCCTTTCAGCCCCACGGGAGCCAGCTTCCATTTTCAGCTGGTGCAGAAAGCCAGAGTCTCCAAGACTGGACTCCACCAGGCAGAAGGAGACAACAGGGCCCCCCAACAAGTCTGCTTGCCTGAAGGGGACAGCGGGTCCCCCCAAGATGTCTGCTTGCCTGGAGGGGACAGTGGGTCCCCCCAAGATGTCTCCTTGCCTGGAGGGGACAGCGGGGCCCCCCAAGATGTCTGCTTGCCTGAAGGGGACAGCAGGGCCCCTGAAGATGTCTGCTTGCCTGGAGGGGACAGCGGGGCCCCACAAGATGTCTGCTTGCCTGAAGGGGACAGCAGGGCCCCTGAAGATGTCTGCTTGCCAGAGCCCCGCAAGCAGCCAGGGCCACCACTGGATGCCAGGAGTTTAGCAAAGTACAGCCCTGACCAGGAGCTTTCATTTCCTAAAAATAAGGAGGTCAGCAGCTCACAAGAAAGTGAAGATGCCCTTCGGCCACTTCCCTGTGAACAGAGAGGACGGCTTTTCCCAGGACCCGGCACCGCAGACGGGCCCTGCCCAGAGGCCCCCGCTCTGGAAGCCTTCTGCAGCCCTGCACTCCATCTGGCCCCTGACTTGGCATTTCAGGGTGATGGGGCCTCACCACTGGATGCCACCTGGCCTTCTGGTGCCAGTCAGAGCCATGCCGCCCAGGGACATTCTGCAGGCAGAGCAGGTGGGCGCCTCTACCCCGCATCAGGGAGGCCTGGCTTTGAGGGTAATGAGTTTGCACCGGCAGGGGCCTCCTCGATGACCTCCCCCCAGGGCAGGAGGGCTTGGTTTGTCCCTGTGCCAAGTCCCACCTGTGTGTCTGACACACATCTCAGCAGGAGGTCCCAGGACCCAGCCTCAAGCCCCCTACGTCAGCTCTCAATCCTGGGGCCCGGAGCAGCTGAGAGTAAAGATGGCACCCCGGCCTCTCAAGATCCAACACCTGCTGCCCAGAGCCCTCTGAGAGGGAACCCCTCAGATCTGGAAGGGGACACTGTGAAAGGGGAGAAGGTGGCCTGTGGCCCCGCCCTGGGCCCTCCAGAGGGTGTGGAGGTGACAACTCTCCCTACAGTGGCCGGAGATCAGCTGGGGCTGGAGGCAGATGGACATCGAGGCTCTCTTGGCCAAGCTGAGAAAACCCAGGTCCAAGGCAGAGTCAGCTGGCCTCAGCCAGTGAACGGAGGGAGCCCAGGGGGGGCGGGTAACCTCTCCTCCGTCAATACAGCACTGGCCAGGCCTGCCACGGGTGCAGTCCTGCTAGAGAAATGCGAAGGGCTTAGGGCAGCCATGAGCCTTCAGGGCGAGGCCCCGCACCCCCCAAGCCTCCCGCACCCTCCAAGCCTCCCGCCCCCGGATAGGGAGTCCCTGGAGCTAGCCTTGACAGCAGCCCACACCCAAAATGCACCTGAGGGCGGGGCTCTACAGAGGGCATCCAGCCTGGGCCTGAACAAGCCGATGTTCAGCACAGGGGATAGTCCAGCACCCTCCATCGGGGACCTGGCGGCCTGTGTCCCTTCACCCTCTTCTTCAGCCACCCCTACGCCCTGCAGCCTCAGGCCCCTGCCCCACGAAGACCCACCCACCTCTCCCTCCAGTGCCACTGGAGCCCAAGGTGGGCTGAGGGGGCAGCTGCCAACATCTCCATCCTGCAGGGACCCTCCCAGCCCCCAGCACCTGCCAGCCTATTCTCCTACCCAGGCACCTCTGGAAGAGGCAGATGCTATCCCAGCCCACACAGATACTGGGGCTGGGGATCCCCCGGTGGCTCCCCTGCCTTTGACCACAAGCCTGTGTGATCCTAAGGGAGCCCTGGCTCACTGCATCCTCCAGGGGGAGGACAGCCTCCTGGAAGACCCTTCCTCCCGGTGTCCTGGCTCAATCAGTGCCACAGTCTACACTCACGGCAGGGGCAGCCCCGAGGACAGCACTTTAAGAATTCCAGAGGATTCCAGAAAAGAGAAGCTGTGGGAGTCTCCTGGCCGAGCCACCTCTCCTCCCCTGGTGGGGGCTGTCTCCCCCACCATGGCCCTGAGGGCTGCTGACCTGGCCAGCACTCTCACCAAAGATGCGCCACAGGCAGGCAGAGGACCCCCAGGGCTGGAACCCCAAAGCAGGGGGGCCCCATCCCACCCCAATCCTGACAGGATGCCCAGCGGCCTCTCATATTCTCCAAGTAACACTGCCCGCCTCAGCCAAAGGGAAGCCCACGCTGTCACAGCTGTGCCCACTGAGCCTCCCACGCCACCAGGTGCAGGGTTGGACTCCCCCACCTGCCTGGAAGATGAGGCGGGGACCAGCAGCAAGGGGCCAGAGCACCCAGGGACCCCTGAGGCTGGGCATTCTGGTGCTACCAAGGTGCCCAGTGTCACCTGCCCTTCCACAGGACTCTGCTTGGGCATAACCACAGCTCCAAGCAGCGCAGCAAGTGACTTCCAGTCTGACTCCCCCAAAAGCCACAGAAATGCCTCCCACCAGACTTCCCAGGAGGACCCCCTCGGTCCCCAAGACCTCAAACAGGGGCCTCGTGGCTATAAAAAGAAGCCAGTGTCTACAGAGAACAGCCAGGCTGCGCTCGGGCCTGTGACCTGTGAGGTCTGCACAGCCTCCTTCCGCTCCCGGCCGGGCCTGAGCCGGCACAAGGCCAGGAAGCACCGGCCACACCCGGGAGCACCCCCACAGCCGAGCCCAGCGGCCCTGCCTGCTCACCAGCCTCCGGGGCCCCCAACCCAAAAGTGCCAGCCCCCCAGGAAGAAGAGCCGCAAGGCACCTGGGAAGGAGAGACCAAACCACTCGCGGGGGGACTCCAGCCACATCGCCCCGGGCTTGAAGGAGGTTCTCAGGACACCCGGCTCCACGCACAGCCAGCAGCAGCGCCCCCCAAGCCCTGCTGAGCATGGGGTGGATGGGAAGGCTCCAGCCTCCAAGCCAAGACCAGGCCGGGTCGGGGAAGAGGAGCTCCATCCCAAGCAGGCAGAGAGACGAGAAGGCCAGAGGCGGCGCAGAGAGCCCACAGGGGACTCCACCAGCCACTCAGAGGGGAAGTCAAGTCAGAAAGCAGGAAAGCTGAGAGGCAGAAGGCTCTGGGAGGATGGCGCTTCTGCAGTCTCTCCTGAAGTGGTTTCAGATGGGTGCGGCTCCCGACCATCCCTCGCAACAGCCAGCGACGCAGCCCCCGCTAGCCACTGCCTCTCTGTGGAAGGACAGCCTGAGGCTGACAAGGAGCAGCCTCCTCGCTGGACCATGCCTGGGCCTAGGGTGTTGGAGGTTGCTTCGGGGACTGACCTGGAGGCTCTGTGCGCAGGGGAGACTGGGGCCCAGAAGCTACCTGGAGATCAGATGCTTCGTCCAGGGAGGATGGACGGTACAGCTCTCGGGGAACGGCCAGTTGGGCAGAAGGGAGCCTTGGCCAGGGGGCTCCAGAGACCGAGAGAGACCAAAGCATTGGGTGTTTGCAGAGAGGCTGGGAGCACGCCGGCAGAGGACAGCAGCAGGGCCCACAGCGGGTCAGAGGAAGGCTTCTGGGAGGAGCTCGCGAGCCCCTTGGGTCCCCTGGGTTTTCCCGAGACTTCCAGCCCTCCAGTGGACAGCACCACTAGCGGCTGCCTCCAGGGCCTCCCGGAGAACCCAGACACCCAGGGTGGGGTCCAGGGGCCTGAGGGCCCCACTCCTGAAGCCCCCAGCTCCAGTGCCAAGGATCCTCCAAGCTTGTTTGATGATGAGGTCTCCTTCTCCCAGCTCTTCCCTCCCGGCGGCCGCTTGACCCAAAAGAGGAACCCACGCGTCTACGGGAAGCGCTGTGAGAAGCCAGAGCGCCAGCTGCCCACCCAGCCCAGCATGGAGGAGGGCCCCACACTCAGCCCAGCCTGCCTGCCCACGGACCTCAGCGACTCCGGCTCCCTCTGCCTCTGCCATGAGGATCCGTGGGAGGACGAGGACCCCGCAGGTCTGCCCGAGTCCTTCCTCCTGGATGGGTTCCTCAGCAGCAGGTCGCCTGGCATCGACCCCTGGGCCTCCGGCCTCAGCCTGTGGGCTCTGGAGCCTGGTGAGGAAGGCAGTGCAGAGAAGCTGCCCTCCCATTACCCTGAGGACGATCAGCCCGAGGCCATTCCCAAACTGCACATGGTCCCGGCAGCTTGGCGAGGCCTAGAGCTGCCAGCCCCTACGAGTGATGCCTCCTCTTCTCTTGGAGACATGAGCCCTGAGCCCCCCAGCCTGGAGAGAGAACGCTATGATGGTGGGCTGCCCGGGAATGCCCACCTGCTGCCACTCCAGGCCGCGGACTTGGAGACACTGAGCTCCGAGTTTGAGATGCAAGACCTGTGCTTTCTGGGACCCTCTGAAGACCCCGCAGGTCTCCCAACCACCAGCTTCTTAGACTTCGAGGCCACGGCGAGCTCCCCGGGGCCACAGAACGGAAGGACAGAGGCGGCCATGGAGGCGGGGAGGGCCCAAGGCCGAGGGCGGCTGACCAAGGGCAAGCGGGCCTCCTACAAGTGCCGGGTGTGCTTCCAGCGCTTTCGCAGCCTGGGCGAGCTGGACCTGCACAAGCTGACCCACACACCCGCGCCACCGCCCACCTGCTACATGTGCGTGGAGCGCAGGTTCGGCTCGCGGGAGCTGCTTCGAGGGCACCTGCAAGAGAGACACGCGCAGAGCAAGGCGGGGCCCTGGGCCTGTGGCATGTGCCTGAAGGAGGTGGCTGACATCTGGATGTACAATGAGCACCTGCGGGAGCACGCCGCCCGGTTCGCCCGCAAGGGGCAGGCGCGGAGGTCTCTGGGGGACCTGCCCAGAGGCCTGCAGGGCGGCAGCGCCATTGCCCAGCTCCTGAGTGGCATCATGGAACCCACACCCAAACCCCACAGGGACAAGCACTCAGGCGGGAGCCCGGGAGACTCCTCAGGGCCGGAGGGAGAGGCCGGGAAAGAGAGCAGGAGCAAGAGGGCGAAACCCAGCTGGCACAGCGCCCCCAGCCACCCAGACAGGGCCGTGACACCAGACAGCGTCTCTGCCAACACCCTGGCCAACCTGGGCAGCCCTGCAGCCTGCGAGAAGCCCGCTCCGGCCTGCGGCTCGGCCCCTCTCCCAGGTCCCGCCAAGACCACCCCCATCCCGTCGCCAGACTCCTGGGCCGGCGGGGAGCCCCTCCTGCAAGCCGTCCTGGTGCACGAGGCCTGCAAGGACCCCTCGCGGGACTGCCACCACTGCGGGAAGCGCTTCCCCAAGCCCTTCAAGCTGCAGCGCCACCTGGCGGTGCACAGCCCACAGCGCGTCTACCTGTGCCCCCGGTGCCCCCGGGTCTACTCCGAGCTCGGGGAGCTGCTGGTGCACCTGGGCGGGGTGCACAGGCTGCAGGAGCCACTGGAGGTGCAGCACACACCACTCTACGCCTGCGAGCTCTGCGCCACGGTCATGCACATCATCAAGAAGTCCTTCGCCTGCAGCTCCTGCAACTACACCTTTGCCAAGAAGGAGCAGTTTGACCGCCACATGGACAAGCACCCCCGGAGGGAGTGGCAGCCCTTTACATTCCGCGGTGTGCGGAGGCCGGGAGCGCCAGGGCAGAAGTCCCTGGCCCTCGAAGGCACACTGCCCAGCAAACGGCGCAAGCTGGCTGTGCCCGGCAGTGCCCCCGGGCCCGAGGAGGACAGCCCCACCCTGAGCGAGCGGTCCCTCCCTGCCCTGCTCCAGCTCTGCCCGGAGGTGGCTGCCAGCACCACCAAGGGATGGCCCGAGATCCTAGAGAGGCCTGCAGACCCTGGGACCCTCCCGATCAGGGTTTGGGATCGGCCATCTGACCACCAGGAGTGTCCCCCGCCATCTCTGTCTCCCTACCCAGCTGCCTTGGCTGAGGGCAGAGGGGACTGCGAGCCAGACAGAGCCCTAGAGAGGCCAGAGGATGAGGCTTCCGCAGGCAGCCCTGGGACTCTTCTCCAGCAAGCTCTTCCACTGGGGGCATCTGTGCCACGGCCAGGAGCCAGAGACCAAGATGCAGAGGGTAAGAGGGCTCCCCTCCTGTTCTCAGGGAAACGCAGGGCCCCAGCTGCCCGAGGTAGAGGTGCCCCTGACCATTTCCAGCAAGATCCTGCCCTGCTTCCAAAACAGAAGCAGGTGTCCTCAAGCCACATGGCATCTGAAGGGGGGCCTGGAGGCCCCTTCCACAAGGGCAGTGCCACCAAGCCTGGGGGCTGCCAGAGCTCATCAATGGACAGGTGGGCAGCATCCACCCCCAGCAAAGCACCCAAGTTCCCAGTGCATCCAAGGAAGGCGGTGGGGAGCCTGGCACCCGGGGAGCTGGCCTGTGACACAGAGAACGGGATGAAGCCCGACACCCCCAAAGCCAAACCAGGCCCCAGCCCCCAGGGCAGTGGAAGCCCTCGCCCTGGCACCAAGACAGGTGGTGGCAGCCAGCCCCAGCCAGCCAGTGGGCAGCTCCAGAGTGAGACAGCCACTACCCCAGCCAAGCCTAGCTTCCCCAGCCAGAGCCCTGCACCAGACAGGCTCCTGCCTCAAGCCCAGGCCAAGAGCTGCACCAAGGGGCCAAGGGAAGCTGGTGAGCAGGGGCCCCACAGGAGCCAGGGTCCCAAGGAGAAGGGAGAAAGCAGCATGAAGAGGAAGAAGGTCCAGGCCCCAGGGGCAGCCAGGACTGAGAGTGTGGGGAGCTTGGGGAGAGCCCCCTCGGCCCCTGACAAGCCCCTCCGGACCCCTCGGAAGCAGGCAACTCCCAGCCGTGTGCTCCCGGCCAAGCCCAAACTCAACAGCCAGAAGAAACCCAGGCCACCGCCCTCAGAGCAGCGGAAGGCAGAGCCGGGCCACGTGCACAGGAAGGACAGACTGGGCAAGGCCTTCCCCCAGGGGCGACCCCTGCTCAGGCCCCCCAGGAGGGGCAGAGCTGTCCACGGTGCTGAACCTGCAGAGCCGCACACCCGCCGGACCGCCGAGGCCCAGAGTGACCTCCTTAGCCAGCTCTTCGGGCAGAGACTAACTGGATTCAAAATCCCTTTAAAGAAAGATGCTTCTGAGTAATTTATAGGAGCAAGAGCCTGGGAGCAGAGCTGGGGGCAGCCAGTTCACTCTGTGGCCACTTGACTTCGTGTGCCTTGATGTCAGAGCTGAGGTTGTGACACTTTGAACAGGGCCCTGGGTGGCCCTTTCTTGCTGGAAGGCTGCGGGTGAAAGACGGGGCCACTGCAGCCCCTTTGAGACCACACAGCTGCTTTCTTGGTACCAACTACTTGAAGAGACAGCACCTTATCCCCCCCACCCACAGCCTTGTGCCCTGTTGGCAAGGCACCTACACCATAGAAGCCAATATCTGGAGATTTGCACGGCCTCCCATTCCCCATACGAAGCAGGGAAGTAAGTCGAGGCAGCCATGGGATGACGGCAGGTTCCCTCCTAGTTTTGCTGCTGTTGCTGGAGTTCCAAGTGACCTTAGAAACCACGTGGGGGAGGCAGCGCTCACCACTTGGAAGAGCTGCTCCTGAGCCGCCTGGTCCCCCAAGAGCACAACAGGCCTCCTCCCTCTGACCACAGGGTCGTGCTGGCCTCTGTGCTGCCGGAGAAAAGCCCATCTCTAGCACACCTTGACCCCGGGAACCAGGTTTCCATTTGGAACCGGGAAGAAACAGCGCCTGTGCCAGCTCCCACAGGTCCTCCCGGTTCCCCGTCAGCCTCCATGGCCGCCTTCTGGAGCCCACCTGCTGTACGGAGCTCTGGGCTCTGCCTCTCTGCAATGTTACTCTGAAGTTTCTGGTGCTATTTTGGTGTTGTAATGTGAATACAGGCTTCCTTGGTTTTTTTTAATGAGGGGATCAGGTGAGGCAGATGGGGTCGGAGAGGCCTCAGCACGGCTGCGTGGAGGGCACGGGCACCCACGTGCCGGCACTGTCTCCCTGCCTCCCTGCCAGGCTGTGAGCCCTAGGTCTGTGTGGCCAGATAGGGGTGCTCAGGGCTGGGGTTGTGGAGGCACTGCCCAGCCAGGGAGGCCTCGGGCGAGGACCTGAGCCAGGCCCAGGATGCATGTGCCCACTCACAGCCAGCCATGTCTGTGAAGGTGGGTAGAAGGGCAGGAGAGCTTCCTTCTCTCCGGAAGTGTCTTGAAGACTCACGGTTTATTTTGCTCTGTTGTTTAGTTTTTATCTTGGGTGCAATGTGTATGTCAAAAGTTTTTATTTTGATATTTGAAAGAGACCAAATCCGGCCCAAATGGCCTCTCTGGAAGGTGCTGTGGGCCATTCACAACGCCTCCTGCCTCCGGAGTGTCGTAAAGCAGGCATGGAGGGGCCCTGAGGTTGTACTGTAAATGTCATAGTGACTTGTCTTTTCAAATATATTCCACTATTTTCGCAGAAAACCTCCCAGCTGTGTGACGTCTGTCCTCCCGCCGGCCCCCACCTCACCTGCACCTCCCTGAGCCTCAGAACATGGCTCCCCGGGTGTCTGTGCCTCTGTCACTCTCAGGCCACTGTGGGCTGAGTGCAGGAGCCAGTGACACAGCCATGGCCATGTCCTGAGAACACCCCTTCAGCAGTGGGGGAATGGGCCAGGCTTTCCAGAAAGGGGCAAGCCCACCCTGCCATCCTCGTTGAGGACCCCCCCACACACGCACATCCCCCAGAAGGAACAGAGGGGAGGCTGAGGAGCCCTCGTGCCCCTCCCCCATGTCAGAAGCATCATGAGGGGCCCAGGGAGCAACAGGGCTGGCCTTATCCACAGAGGAGGCAGGGCTGAGGGAGAGTGAGCATGGGGACCTGGGCTCTGCCACCCTCGGGCCTCCCCACAGGCACCTGTCTGGGGTGAGTTTCCAGCCTTCACGCACCGAGACATGGCCCTCCCAGGCTGGGGAGCCAGGCCCCTTCACCTACACAGAGACACAGCCTTGTCCCCTCCTCCCCCACGCCCTGGTCCGTGCAGGTGTCCACGTGCCCCTGCCTCAGCCTGCTCCCTCCTGTGCCCTTCCAAGCTTCTCCTGAGACTGTCCTCTGGAATGTTCTCGAGCCTGCCACTCACCATCACAGCACCCTCTTGTCTTCCTGGCCGCTGGACTTCCTCAGCTTTCAAATCCCTCTCCAGGTGGGCTCTGGGCCTCCCCTGCCTTCCGCTTGTTGCTGGTGGAACTCACACCACGAGGGCATCTGCAAAGGGGCTCGGTGTGGGGAGGGCAGTGCCTGACGTCAAAGCCAATGTCTCAGGGTGGATGTCAGACACTGTCACGCCAGCTGCAGAGCTAGGGGCATGGGGAGCTCCAGACCCCGGCAGGACCCGGGTGGGATCTTACAACCATTCCCAGCAGGGCAGCGACACTTCTTGCTTGTTAACATGTGAAGATCATGAGACCATCAGCAGTGCTGCCTCAGTCTCCCCCTCTGTTTCCAAAGCTTCTTGGTTCTGGGGTGAGGCCCTCAGGGAGCAGAGCAGCTCCACTGAGGACGACACAGGGAAGGGAAGAGGCAGCAGGAGGGGTGGACCCAGGAGACGCTCCCCACCCAGTCTCAGGCACCAGGGGCCTCCTGTGTCCTAAAGAGCCCCTCAAAGACCCCAGTGTCCAGGGGACAAGTGACCCTCTCCAGTGAGGGTGGGCCAGGTAGACCCTTGACTGGGCAGATGAGGGAGCTGCTCAGAGGAGGCTCCCAGCCTCACCAGCCTCCCTGCCTCACCAGCCTCCCAGCCTCACCAGCCTCCCTGCCTCACCAGCCTCCCAGCCTCACCAGCCTCCCTGCCTCACCAGCCTCCCAGCCTCACCAGCCTCCCAGCCTCACCAGCCTCCCTGCCTCACCAGCCTCACCAGCCTCCCAGCCTCACCAGCCTCCCTGCCTCACCAGCCTCCCAGCCTCACCAGCTTCGCTTTCCTCCCCTCTTCCTTGGGAAGCAGAGTTCCTAATGAAGTAACTGGGGTCTGTCCAAGCACACGGTGCCCCTCTTCCTTGGACAGATGACAAATTCACCTGCAGCCTGTGACTGTGGCCCCCGCAACCCCACAGCCTCCCCACCCGCCAGGCCCCTACACAGTTCCCTCTGCCGGGAACACTGTTCCCAAGCCGACACACGGCCCCTTCACTCCTTCCCGCCCCTCCCCTCACGCCAGCCATCCTCTGCCCCGTGGCTCTCTGCTGGGACCCTGGTTTTTGGGTCTTCCCGGCCCTGATGGTGGCAGATGCCACAAGGCAGCCCTGGCCAGGCCTGCCTTCGGGAGGGGCTGTGACAGTTGTCTGGCCATCTGCCCACCGCTTTGCTCACATTGCCCACCCACTGTGCAAGGATCCTGGCCCTGGGAAGCCAGCGGACACAGCCCCCAGGCAGGGCCTTCTGAACAGGTGCTGATTGGCATGAGGACTGCGCCTCGTGGGTGAGCAGGGGGCTCCGTCTCTGATGAGGAGGCGTAGACCGGGGTTGGAGGGAAGGGTGCGGGAAGGGCCTTGTGCACTGGGCTCTGAGTTGGTGTTTCACCGCAGTGGGTCACAGGGCAGCCTGTCTGGCTTTGGTGAGTGAAAGGGTCACGTGTATTTCTTGGGTGGGGACCTCGAGGTCCCACCAGGTCCTCGGTCCGGGACACTGGCTCCTGTTCAACACAGCGTGTCTCAGGCAGGGCCCCAGCCGGCAGCCAGAGCACCCTACTAAGGTCAGTGGCTCTGGGAAAGGCTGGGCACTCGCTCCCACCGGCGTCAGGGGCTGATATTGGAGGGCTGCTGCTCCCAGCCATCTCAGGCCCTGCTAGACTGTCAGGAGGGAGCCGTCCCTGTCCACATACCCCTCCTCCTGTGAGGCCTGAGACCACCCTGTGGCCGGAGACCCACAATGTGGATGCCCCCCGCCTGGCCACCAGGTGGCAGCATTCGCCTGGCCAGGAGACCCGGCCTCCACCTGGGCAGAGTAGCTGCCCACAGCCTCCAGAGGCACCGCACGTGCCGGCCCCACACCCATCTGCCAGCCCCACACCCACCTGACCTGCAAATCACCCACATGCACACCCGGGACCTCCACACACTAAAGGGGGCAGACAGGCAGGAGCCCCAGACTTCACATGTGCACACAGCACAGCCTCACCTATGTGGGCACTCAGACTCGTGCCCACAGGCACACACGCCTGCTCAGCCCCGGGGGCACTCCGGCCCCCGCCAGTCCACTCACACAGCCACAGGAGGGAGTGCTGTGGGGGTCCCTGCAGGCTTCCCTGAAGGACAGGTGTTTGAGCTGGGAGCGGAGGAACACTGGGCGTGAGCTGTGCAGGCCCCAAGGGGACCCCTGCAGAGAGTGGATACTGAGGCCCACCCCAGGCACAGTCAGGGTCACCGTCCGCACCAACCCTCCTGACCCAGGGACCCTGTCTCTCCCACCCAGGATTTTGAGGCCCAGTTTGTCCCAAGGTTCCAGAGATCCTCTGTGGCCAGAATCCGCAATGAGCTGTGTGGAGCAGCAGGGGTGGGTGGGAGGCCATGCACGTGCAGAGCTCCCACAGAGGCGGCGGCATTCCCCAGCAGCCACTGCTAGATCCGGAAGCCTGACCCAAAGCTGCTGGGTAAGTGGGATCAGGAGAGAAGGGGGTGCCGTGGGCCAGACCGAGGACACAGAGTGGGTGGGCAGCTGTGGAGGAAACACAGGCAGCCTTGGAGGAGATGCAGGCAGGGGAGCACGTACCAGGTACCCCTGGGTCTCAGCCTGTGAGGCAAGGAAGCGGAGGATGGGGGGTCCCGGTGGTGAGTGGCAGGCCCAGCTCCATCCCCCACACCCGCTACACAGAGAGGAGGTGTGCAGGGCAGGGTCAGAGGGTTCCATGGGATGGAGGTGCACCCACCTCAGGGAACAGACACAGGAAGGGTTTCCTGGGAAACTCATTATTTAAAGCAGGCTCTCCTACACGCACCTACACCTTGGAGCACCTGGTTTCCTGAGAAAATGTGTGGGTGGGGCAGTGGGGAGATGGGGATGGAGAGGACCAGCCTGGGGAAGCAGCTGTGTTCTGGTGACTCGGAGGCAGCTGAAGCCAGGATTCCTTGAAGCACCCCCCTGAGGTGATGGGACTTGGAGGCCCTGGAGCCCATGGGGAGCTCAGTCCTGCGTGTCCTCTGTCCCGTGGGCAGCTCAGTCCTGCGTGTCCTCTGTCCCGTGGGCAGCTCAGTCCTGTGTGTCCTCTGTCCCGTGGGCAGCTCAGCCCTGCCGTGTCCTATGTCCTGTGCCACATATTGGCCACAGAGATGCACACTGAGGCCCGGGGGTGTCTGTCTTTCCAGTGCTGGGCCCCAAGGCTGCGGCCCCTTTCTCCAGTGCAGTGTCTGTCTCGTCTCACTGACGAGCCGACATAGCCTTGAGGAGAGGAGGTAGAGCTGGCCCTCCCCAAGCAGGGGGTGAACACACACACCTGGGCCCGAACTGCCCAAGAGAACCCCAGGGCTGCTTCCGAGCCCAAGGAGGGCACAGATGTGTTCTGCCAGCATGAGGAGGTGCCCAGGAGCAGCCGAGCCCTGAGCTGGGGGCCAAGGCCTCAGGATGGTCACGGGCACCCCCCCCAGCTCAGTTCTTCCAGCCATTAAACAGGCGATGTGGCCACCGAGAGCCTTTCCAGCCCCGGCTCCCAGCAGCTCCCTGTCAGAGCTCCATTCCAGGCGAGGAGCTGCGGTTCCCTGCACCGGCTGGATTTCAAACCCGAGCCTCAGTTTCCCCTGTCTGCAAATTGGGCTCTGTAAGACCTCCCGGGACGGTGGAGAGAAGGAGTGAGACGGCATTTGTGAAACGCTGGCCTCGAGGTGGGCATGGGCGCTGTCATTGTGAGGAGAAGCACAGG